CTTCTCTTCTTATGTTAAACATTGCATAATCAAAATTTGTCCACTTTCTGAACTTTACTTCATTAAACTCGATTATCTTCAAATATGAGTACACACTAATCTTCATCTTTCCAATTATTTCCATGAATGCACAATATCCTCTTTTAAAGCTTTTAGACTTGTTATTGAATGTATCCAGATAAGAAACAACTCTGAAGTTTTCTGTAGTTTTGAACATGTGGATATATTTGAATTCCAAAAATCGTTGATTCATATCAACTTCTTCATATTCATCCTCAACTGTCTTTGATCCTGGTTTCTCCTTGTCAACAACTGTCTTTTCAACAACATCATCTTTCACAACATCTTTAACTAAGTTTTCATTCATATTTTGCCTTGTATGAATAGAAAACTCATATGGAAGTAACATATATTGATCATAAACCTTCTTTGAATTTGCCTTTGTTAAGCATTCATTCAAGCACGCCTTGATCAACTTCCTCAATTCTAGTCTTTTTTTATTGCTCTCATCAATTTAGCTTTCACTTGCTCTTTACTTTCATTTGGTGAAGTTTCTATTACCTTCAAAAGATATTCCAAAGTTTCTGAAGAATACAAAGTAATATTTGACATCTTAAGAAAATTTCCTTTGCTTGTGAACGTATAAAAGTTTCCATACTTAGGAAGTGGTATAAAAGTCCATCGTCTAAAATCAGTCTCATGAATATTTACATATGGCTCTTCATATTTATCCTTTTCAAATTTAGATCTACTACTTTCTGAGATCATACAACCCAGAGTTTCAAATATAGTTTCCCATAACCCTTTTGATTTCAAATCCCAACCAAGATTCATCTATCGTTTCGAAGAATTTGAGTAGACACAATTGATCTCTTAGTCTAAGTCTGTGCATATCCACACTTGTAAAATCAAAGATCGTCTTGTCTTCTTTCTGAACTTTCATCTCCATATAATTAAAAGCACCAAAACATTTTCTTTCAAATTCCACTATATTGACATTGGAACTATCTAGATTTTAAAATTCATTAGAAATCCTTTACTATTTCAATACATCATTTGTAAATCTCCAGACTAGGTGCCATCACCCTCATGCTCCAATAAAACTTTCTTACTTTCACTAACATAAAACAAATGATCATAGACTTTCAAAACGGTTCCTTCTAAATCATATGATTAAATCTGGTTCTTTTCAACAAGCTGTAGACATATTTCATCATACTTTTCTATATTTGATAAATCACCAAATCCTTCAAAGATGGCTTTTGCATGCATTGCAAACAGATTACTTTCTAGAATTGTTATCCTCCTTGCATGAAACTCTAGATTATACACAACTATATATGTATAAGTATTAACATCACCAGTAAATTCATCATTCAAACAATCATCAAAATCTAACTTTCTTGCAACATTAGGGAAAATCTCTCCATCACTGTCATCATGATCAACTAACTCTTCAGTGTCTTCCAAAATTTCTTGCTCATATACAATTGATTCATCACTTTCAACTTTTTCAGTTTCATCTGAGTTAACTTGATTCACAACCTCCTTACGTTGATCCAACATCCCTTGGTCTTTTTCATTAGCAATAGCATCACTAGGAATAGTGATTTGCCCTGACCCGGTGGGGAACCCGGTTCACCCGACCCGAATGGGGACGGGGATTCCCCGTTAAAACGGGTCCCGGGGCCGGGGTCGAGGATCCCTGGTAGACTCAAACCGGGGATACGGCCGAGGACAGGGGATGTTACTCAAACCGGGGCCGAGGCCGGGGATCTCCGGTAGAATCAATCTAGAGGATACTATTTATGGGGTTTGGCAACGGATTGACCAAGGTTTTACCGGGTTTTGACCGGGGATTGCTTGAGATTTTTCCGGGGATGGGATGATAATCCCCGTACCCGCCAGGGACCGAGGTCGGGGGGTGTTACTACAAACCGGGGCCGGGGATTACAAAACCCGCCCCATCCCCGCCCCGTTGCCATGCCTAAGCATCACCAACGTTTTCATTTCTCATTTCAACATTTTCCTTTACAATCTCTTCAACCCTGAAATTTGCATTGACATCAACTTCATTAACCCTATGTATCTTTCCCTTCTCCACCTCATGATCATCAAGACATCATCCCGATCATCATGCTTTTTCTTTGTGCTTGACCCTACTCTTTACAATTCATTTTGACCATATCAACCTTAACTGCCTTAACCATATACATCACATATGTTAGCTGATCTTTCAAATCCTTAACTTGTTCAGTTGTAGCATAACTTTCTTACTTTGGGAATGGCATAGATTAGGCTCTCAACATATTCAGATGTTGAAAAGGGAACTTTTGGTATCTGGTTTTGAGGTCACGATTGCTGTTTGATAAGCTTGGTTGAGAAAAGTTCAAAGCGGTGATCCAAACTCTATTAGTGAATTAATGATGATCATTTCCTTAGTGAAAGCTTTAATTTTTATTTCAGTTTTAGTGATCAGTTTGTATTTGAGTATGTTCAGTGATCGTTGAACATATGAGTAACCGTATTAGAGATTTAGTATTTCAAAGAAAAACTCACATGAAAGAAAACTTCAGCGATGTCAAAGAAGTAGTTGAAGATAAAGATAGTTTACTCATGATTTGAAGCGATGTTCAGTGATACCAATATACTTCCACTACTTATCCACTAACGGATGATCTCGCCCCGCTACTACTACATTGACTGGTCATGGCATAATCGCGATCCTGGGAGGTCCTAAAACCAAAAAGATGACCCATCTTCTGTCCTCTGACACTCTGCCCCCAAATAAAGGCCTCATCAGAGGGAGGGGTATTAGGGTCTACACTAGAATGTGACACATCCCTATGCTCTTGAAATCGCTCTTATGGTTTACGAAAACAAAAATGGGTAAGATTATATATGTAGACATTTAAGCAGCACAATAGATATAAACCAGACATATCAAATGGTTGTTTTTAGCAATTAAAGCATTGTAATTACCAATGGTGGTTACATTATCAACCAATCTATCTACTTAGTCTAACATTTGCCCAACAGTGGCAGCACAAACTAATAACATCATTACGTTTATTAAAATATATTACTTTAAACCTATCAAACGTTTTAGCGACGGATTGACCACTAAACAACCTCCCTAATCCCTCGCTAATTAGTGACGGATTAGCAAAGATTGACCACAAACCCCATTTGTCGCGATTCTGTCACTGATTAGCGAGGGGTTAGCGACGAATGGGGTTTGTGGTCAATCGATCGCTAATCTGTAACTAATTAGCAAGGGATTGACCACAAACCACATACGCTAATCATCGTCGTTGGTCATGCAATCAATCTTTCTCTTTTTAATTTTTTTTTAAGAACCGTAAAACTAATTTAGGTTTTTTTTTTTTTTTAAATTTTTCTAGCCGGTTACAAGTAACTTTTTGAGGTTAAAGGATGTAGGTTACCAATTTCTAAAAGTTCAAATGTTTATTTATTCAAAATGAGAAAGTTCAATGGTTTTCTTATGGGAAAAGTTCGAAAAAAACCCAATGGACTTTATTGTTCGGAACGATTAAGTCCTTGGACAATTTTTTGGAACAAATAAATCATTGGACATTCTAGAACCTGTTAAATACGTTATTGGACTTTACAATACCTGTTAAATAAGTCATTGGACTTTCTAAAATCTGTTAAATACATTTTGTTAGTGGAAAAAGTACGAAAAAACCAATGGACGTTTATATTTTGAACGATCAAGTCCTTTAACATTTTTTGAACGAAAAAAGTACTTATATTTATAAAAAAACAAATATATCATTCTCATTACACTTCACAAAACATATAAAAGTTGTATCCAAAGCATAATAATCTGCATACAAATTTTGGGTATAATTTTACCAAAAGTTAAACCAAATACTAACAATTGCACCAAATATACCAAAAATTGCACCAAAAATACAACAATTATGCTAAATATACCAAAAGTTCGCCAAAATATACCAAAAGTTGCGCCAAAATATACCAAAGCAATGCCTAATCTATGTTAAGGTCATGGTATGAACTATTCTTCATTTGCATCATTAATTTCTGGTGGAGATATAGCCGTTTGACTTTCTTGTAACCCTTCTTGATGTCTAACAACATCATCACTTTCATGATGTTCTTCATCACCAACAGTAATATCAACTTCATCACGATCTTCATCGTTAACAACAGCCTCTCTTGAATTGAATACGGTAGGATGCCTTCGGGCCATGCTAGTTGTGGCACACCTGAGGATGTCTTTAATGATGAAGATAAAGCGTAAGCAATAGTCATAAAAAATGTTACTTGAATCTGAAAAACAAATAATAGCTTACCCCAATCATTGCTTCTCTCGTGTGTTGGCGAATGGTTGGATCATCAATGGGCTATATGTCGCGGGCCGACCCAAAGGTGCCTTGGAGTTTAATCCAAGGAAACCTAATATATGGAAAGTTTCCTAATTCTGCGTTATATGGAAAGTTTCCTAATTTTACATTATATGGAAAGTTTCCTAATTTTGTGGTTTGGTGATAGAATAKGAATTGTAATCCAATACGTCTTCTTGTCTATATATAGCGATTCTGATGTATAGATTWARARMRAGGACAATTGTTAGAGTTTTGTGWAACCGAATTTCTYTAATACTAATCAACGMGTTTATTGGCTGAATATTCATTCGTATTGTTGCTTACGTTTCAATTGGTATCAGAGCTTGCAATCCAAATCATGTATTGTGGTTCGGTTGATTGATCATGTCGGGAGGCGAAGCGAATCCACCCGCAAAGGAGGCATACTCGATTTCGTTTCAATGTCCGCAATTAACATCAATGAATTACACGATATGGCCCATGCGTATGAAGGTTTTACTCGGCATTCACGGCGTGTGAGACGTGGTTGATCCAGGTTCAACGGATGCAAAGAAAAACAACATCGTGATAGGTTTGTTGTTTCAATCAATTCCGGAAGACTTGATCCTACAAATCGGGAATCTCAAGATGGCAAAGGAGATGTGGGATGCGATCAAATCCCCGAACTTAGGTGCAGATCAGATGAAGGAAGCACGATTGCAAACATTGACTTTGGAATTCGAAAGTTTGAAGATGAAAGAAACGGGCACAATTGATGAGTTCTCTTCAAAACTATCGGGCATTGCGACTGTTTCAGCGTCACTCGGAGGAACAATCTCGCAAGAAAAGTTGGTGAAGAAATTTCTTACGAGCCTTCCTAAACGATTCGTGCACATCGTGGTGGCACTCGAGCAAGTTTGGGACTTAAAAGCCGTTATATATGAAGATGTTGTTGGAAGGCTAAAAGCTTACGAGAAACGGACTAAAGATACCGACAAAGCATTCGATTCCGGTGAAAAGCTACTGTATGCCAAAACCGAAAACTCAAATCGAAACCAAGACTCAAGCCGTGGCAAAAGACACGGTGCAAACCGAGGGGGACGAGGCTGTGGACGTGGCCGTGGTAGGGGTAACACCCAATACCATGATAACCAGGGTGTTGAACAGAAAAAAGGTAATAATAAAAAGAAGCGAGATATGTCAACAATTAAATGTTACCGTTGCGACAAATATGGACACTTTGTGTCAAGATGCCCGGACCGATGGCGTAACCATGAAGCAAACCTTAATGATGTTCAAGAAGGAGTGAATCACGAGGAAGGAACATTCTTTATGATGAAAGAAGAAACAGTGTTTCTAAATGAAGACAAATATGTTCCTCCCAAAGTCGAACCAAACCAAGGTGACGACAATGTTTGGTATCTCGACAATGGCGCAAGCAATCACATGACCGGAAAGTATTCTTACTTTTCGGAATTGAATGAACGAATAATCGGAAGAGTGAGATTTGGAGATGGCTCGTGCGTACGGATAGCAGGGAAGGGATCGATTTTGTTCGAAGGTAAAAACGGAGAACAAAAAATAATGAAAGATGTTTACAATATTCCATCACTTCAAAGCAATGCGATAAGTCTAGGTCAAAGTACATTATCCGGATGTGATATCCGACTTTATGGTAATTTCTTGACAATGAAAGATCGGAATGGAAGGTTGCTCATGAAGGTCCCGGAAAGTGAAATCCGTAATAAGATATTGGCTGTAATTGAAAAGGTTTTTGATGCATACAAGTATTTTTGTATCGTCTTTATAAAATCCGACGAGAAGTTGGAAAGCCTCATTGTTTACAAACAAAAATTGATGATGAGTCTTGGTTGTGGCATGCACGTCTCGGCCATATCAACTTTGGTGCGGTGAATATGATGCACAAGTTGACTAACGGAGTACCGGCTTTAAAGCATCAAGATCAAGTGTGTGAAGTTTGTGTGATAGGCAAACAACACAAGCACACGTTCCCGAAGAAAGCTAATTATAAGTCCGCATATATTCTCGAAGTATTACACGGAGATATTTGCGGACCAATTGATCCTCCCACTCAAGCAACTAATATTTATATATTAGTTCTCATTGATGACTTTTCTAGTTACATGTGGTCTTTTTTGATAAAGCATAAAAACAACACGGCGGATGTAATCAAAAGATTCAAAAAGTCAATCAAAAACCGAACCGGCAAAGAGATAAAAACTTTTCACACGGATAGAGGCGGTGAATTTATTTTATTTTGGAACGAAGAAGGTGTTGCAAGAATGTTAACGGCTCCGTACTCACCCCAACAAAACGGCATAGTAGATCGACGAAACCGAACGCTAATCGAGATGACGTGATGTCTTATGAAAACAAAAGGAGTTCCAAATCGATTTTGGGGTGAAGCCGTTCGACATGCAACTTATATAATTAATCGTACCCCTACGCGAGCATTGGTAGGAGTCACACCTTACGAAAAATTCTATGGTCAAAAACCGAATCTTGAAGGATTAAAGGTGTTTGGATGTGTCGCGTATGAAAGGATTGTTTCAAAACATCTAAAGAAGCTAGACGATAGATCGAGACCATTGGTTTATTTTGGGAAGGAACCGGGTTCGGGTGGTGTTCGCTTATTTAACCCAAAAGAAAATAAAATCATTATAAGTTGCAATGTTTCTTATAATGAAAAAATGGCATGGAATTGGGATAAAGAAGAAAAGGAATTGCGTGACGACAGTAAGAAAAGTGAATCTGGCACATTTGTAATACCATGGCTTGCGACAAATGAGCCTGTTCCCCCAAACCAACAACAACCGAAGATGCACAACCCACTGCCACGCCACATCAACCCCTCGTAGCAAGCCCAGCTGCAACGAGCCCACAATCAGCAACGAGCCCAGCAGCGGAAGCCCCAACCTCAACAGAATCAGAGTCGAACAGCGATCACGAGTCCGACGTGCATAGCGAGTTTGAACATAACCCGGTACGACGTTCCAATCGTGTCTCGGTTTTGTCTATCTGTTTACACGACTACGAACTAAACATGTACGAATTGATGTTAACCTGTGACGAGGAGCCAAGGAACTTTAAAGAAGCCTTTATGAAACCCGAATGGCTTAAGGCGATGACAAGCGAGATCGAGTCAATCGAAAAAAAACAAAACTTGGAAGCTAGTGCCTCTACCCAAGCATGCCAAACCAATCGGACTAAAGTGGTTATTTAAAGTCAAAAGAAATACGGACGGATCAATCTCGCGGTACAAAGCGCGGGTCGTAGCAAAAGGCTATGTACAAGAATACGACATTGATTTTGATGAAGTCTTCGCGCCAGTAGCACGACTCGAGACAATACGATTATTGATTACTCTTGCGGTCGGGAAAGGATGGAAGATTTACCACTTAGATGTGAAGACAGCCTTCTTACACGATGAATTGAAAGAAGAAGTGTACGTGAGTCAACCCGAGGGTTTCGAAAAGGCGGGAGAGCAAGGAAAAGTTTACAAGTTAGCAAAAGCCTTGTATGGCTTACGACAAGCTCCAAGGGCATGGAATATAAAACTTGATGGCATCTTACGAGGAATGGACTTTAAACGATGATTGCACGAATCGGCAGTATATAAAAAGGTTTCGAGAGGTGAATACATCATTGTGGCTGTGTACGTGGATGATTTATTCGTAACGGGAACGTGTCATGAAATAACAAGCCAGTTCAAAAGCATGATGTCTTCAAATTTTGAAATGTCGGATCTTGGCTTGTTGACTTATTACTTGGGCATTGAAGTTTCTCAAGAAAATGATTGTGTAACAATCAAACAAGCGAACTATGCTATGAAAATCTTGAAAGAGGCGGGCATGGAAGAATGTAATCCTACACAATGTCCAATGGAACTGGGACTAAAATTATCGAAAGTGAAGGATAAACCAGAAGTTGAAGCCACTCATTATCGGAGGGTAGTAGGGTGCTTACGCTACCTCCTTCACACTCGTCCGGACTTAGCTTACTTGGTCGGGGTAGTTAGTCGTTATATGCAAAGTCCGAGAGAATCTCATGCGTGCGCGGTCAAGCAAATCCTTCGATACCTTCGCGGTACAATTTCTCTTGGAATTAGATACGAGAGATTCGATGAGTTAAAACTTCTGGGTTATAGTGACAGCAGTCATAATGTAGACGCAGATGATGGTCGGAGCACTACAAGTCACATTTTCTTTCTTGGTAAATCCCCCATCTTGTGGTGTTCACAAAAGCAAGATATCGTGGCCTTATCTTCATGTGAAGCCGAATTCATGGCAGCTACATTGGCAGCATGTCAAGCAGTTTGGCTAAGGGAGTTACTCGCGGAGGTAACCGGATTAAAGAAGCAAAAGGTGTTGATTCGTATAGACAACATGTCGACGATTGCATTATCTAAAAATATGGTGTTTCACGGAAGGAGCAAACACATTCACACTCATTACACTACATTCGAGAGCGTGTGGAAAATGAGCAAGTTGAAGTCGAACACGTGGCGGGAAATAGTCAAGTAGCGGATCCCCTAACGAAGGCCTTAGCACGAGTCAGGTTCGGTGAAATGAGAACGTTGCTTGGTGTGTGTGAATTGCCGCTTCAACCATTCAGGGGGTGATTGTTGGCGAATGGTTGGATCGTCCATGGGCTATATGCCACGGGCCGACCCTTGGAGTTTAATCCAAGGAAACCTAATATATGGAAAGTTCCCTAATTCTGCATTATATGGAAAGTTTCCTAATTTTGCGTTATATGGAAAGTTTCCTAATTATGCGGTTTGGTGATAGAATATGAATTGTAATCCAATACGTCTTCTTGTCTATATATAGCGATTCTGATGTATAGATTTAAAGAGAGGACAATTGTTAGAGTTTTGTGAAACCGAATTTCTCTAATACTAATCAACGCGTTTATTGGTTGAATATTCGTTCGTAATGTTGCTTACGTTTCACCGTGACTGGATTATAAGAGACCCCTACATATGATGGTATCCTCCCACCTCTATTGCCTCTTCCACCTCTATTGGCTCTTCTTGTTGTAGTCGGTTTTGGAATGTGAGTCAATCGTGTTTACAATACAAAGCTTATTTAGAAACTGATCATCAACTGTTTTATTTAAGTTGAATATATCATCCTCGTCTTCAAGGTCTAAAGATAAAGAATCTGACATATGTTCACTTGAATTATCGTGTATTTCATAGCTCGGATTATCACTATAATCACCATCGCAATCAGATGTCATTCTGTAACAAGAATAACAATTTCATCACAATTCACCGATGAAAACAAAACCTATCATACTCTAGAAAGGATGACACAAAATGATGTTACAAATTCACAAATGAAAAGAAAATATAAAACACTTAGGGGCCATTTATTAAAACACTTAGGCTCTGTTTGTTTTTACAAAAAAAAAGCTCTTAATACCTTCTGAAGTTTGAATCGGTCAGACCTTAGCGTATTAAGGGTGTTTATTTTTTTTCTTCAATTAAGAGCTTAAAAGATATGAATAGGTCTGAATTATTTAGCGATAACCTAAACACTGAAAACCTCTTCTTTCATAATCGTCGCCTACCTCTGGTCTCTCTCAAGCTCTCGATCTCTCTCTTTCAACGCGTCTCTAGGTCTATCTCTTCAAGCTCTCGATCTCTCTCTGGTCACGTCTCTGGATTAACTACTATATATTCAGATTCATTCTTCTGTTAACCTTTTACTGTTAACACTTTCCTAATTGCTGCAGCATGTAGTATGGTAAACCATCAATCACTACATGTAACTATGGTAAACCACTATATGTTGAATACCCTTTGCTAATTGCTGCAGCATCATGACATGTAATTGTTGCAGCATTGCAGCAACCCTTTCCTAATTGTTGCAACATGTAACTATGGTAAACCATCAATCACTACATGTAACTATGGTAAACCATCAATCACTACTGTAACTATGGTAAACCACTATATGTTGAATACCGTTTCCTAATTGTTGCAGCATCATGACATGTAATTTGTTAATTTCTTACACCATTTCCTTGGAAAATAAACTTTGTGGAAATGTGGGGATCAAAACTTTACTTTCTCCAAATGAATCGACTTATTTGTAGTAATCTTGAAGCTAACTAAGACGATGATAGTAAGTTTTACTCACTCTCCCGGATTCGGACTCACATGTGTGTGACAAATACACAAATAATCAGTCCAGGACACCATCAAGAGAATTTGTTTACAATAATCAGTCCATGTCAACTCTAAACTTCAGAGGAATGGCCATTAAAATATGCAAGAAGCTATTGAGGATAGTAGTTTGGAGCAAACCTGATTAGACGAGCGAAGACAGGGGCGGCGACGAGGTGGTGCGGCGGCGATGTGGGCGAGGGAGACGATGGTGTGTGAGCATTAAGCGGCGAGAGGGAGAAGGAGACGGGAGGGAGGCGATGGTCACGATGGGTAGTCAGGTTACAAGTTTTTTTAGGTTTTTTTTTAATTAAATGTTTACCTTCTATTCAGGTTACCGGTTACATTTTAAAAGAATGATGATCTATTTAACATGTTTTAAAAATTCCAATGACTTATTTAACAGGTTCTAGAATGTCCAATGATTTATTTGTTTCAAAAAATTATCCAAGGACTTAATCGTTTCAAACAGTAAGGTCCATTATGTTTTTTTGGATTTTTTTTTAAGTTTAGGAATGTTATTATTAATAAGCGGGCTATGGATGTTACAAAGAGAAAAGGTTGTAATTGGTGAACGACTTTGATCCAAGAAATTAGTTGTGGGTAAAATCTTGGAGTTTATAAGTTGTGAAAATATGCATCACAAATCAATTGGGGTTCATTTGGAAATTAAACAAAATTTGATTAGAGAAGTATATTTTTGATAAAATTCCTGAGG